GACTTTGTGACTTTTTTCTCTCTCTCTACAAATGGAGTAGGAAAGTTGCTCAATACCAAGACAAACCAGTGCTCCTAGATCTCTAAGCACATGCAAAAAAGCACTTTAGAACATAAGTTCCTTAAACAGGTTTTGTTTCACACCCCCCCGAAACTATTTGCAATTGTTAACTTTTTGATCTTTAATGTGAATGAACTCTTAAAATACAGTTCTCGTCTGCTAAAAAATGACAGGTTGTCCATAAAACTTATAGCTGATGACATCTACCAAAAGAATTTTTTCTTGCTTTTTATCAGAACCAGAGAAATCACATATCAAACTGTTATGTGGCATTAAGGATTAGCATTTGTGTCTGGAAAACTTAAGAGTTTGTAACAACAACAAAAACCACTCCAAAATGGAAGGTTATTTGAATTTCTGACTCCTCTAAGCGGCAATACCATTCAGGAAGATAACTCCGCATTTGTTTAGGATACAGAGAAGAAAGTCTAACTAAATAGGGCAAAGACAGGCCTAGATAATACTACAAAATGGACCAACTGGAATGTTTAGCCTTCAAGAACTTAACACAGGATGGAATAATGGGCAGAAATTGCTGGGCTGTAAGTATTCAAGATGCAAATTCTGTAGGAGAGAGAGAGGTGGCAATATGAGCACCAAAGTAACACTACATAAAAAAACCTAAACTTGTTCTTGATGTTTGCCTCTAATGTCATCCCAAGTGAAACACATTGATGTATTTATTACACAGTGACTATGTGTTTTAGACACATCCAATAACTTCCCTGTGGAGCAGCTGATGGTTAGGAAGTTGTTGCTTGACTCAGTTCTAAGTATACAAAATCACAAGGAGTAGATGAGTTAGGAAGAGACCTCTGGATATCATTTTGTTCAAACCCACTGTCCAAGTAAGCTCACCTCAAGATAGTTACCCAGGACTGTCCAGTATCTCCAAGGATGGAGACCCCATGATCTTTCTGGGCACCTGTGTGAATGCTGTCACCCTCACACTGAAAAAGGCCCCTCAGCCTTCTCTTCTCCTGACCAGTCCCAGCTGTCTCAGTCTCTACTCATATGCCATATACTCCAAGCCCTTAATCATCTTGGTCACCCTTTGCTGGACTTATTCCAGTCTGCCCACGTCCCTCATGTACTGAGAAGTACAAGAGCACAGGAGAGCCAAGAATGGGACCCAGCATTTCAGATGTGGCCTCACCACCATTGCGTTCAGGGTAAGGATCACCTTCCTCATCGTGCTAGCAACATTCTTTCTAATGCAGCCCGGGAGGCTGTTGGCTTTCCTTGCCAAGACATTGAAAATTATTTTTTTTTCTTAAGAGTGTAATATGTAGAAAGGACTCTTACACCTTAAGAGATTACAGATTCCAAAAGTTTACATGGATTTAAGAGCAGACATATCTGCAGAAAAGAAATCCATTGAGGATTATTAAACACAGTAAGTTACAATATCACAAGATGTCCCTGAGCTATAAAACTGGAAGCCTGACAAGTTGGAAGTTGGAAGATATATCACTGTGTGCTTTCTCTATCCCTGTGCTTAAAGTATCCCTTTCTGACTTCTGTTGAAGACATTAAGCTAGGTGGACCTTTGCTCTGATGCAGGGCTCCTCTTAGGCATTACAAAATGCTACAAGAATTGTACAGTGTATCACCTTACACCCACTGCAGTAATTTACCAAGTTTCTGATTTAATTTTATTATGGAATAATAACTATCAGATAGCTGTATTTAAATTAACAACACTGGTAAGGACTAATTACATGTTCAGAACTTCTTTCAATTAAGCAGTAGGAAAAGGTCCTGAAGAAAAATTAAATGAAGATTTTACCTCATATCCCAATCAAATGAACTCCCAAACTCAGAATGGCATTTACAAGTCAAATGTTTCTTAGTGTAAAAAGATCTTTCCTTTTATTCAGCATTCTTTCAGAAAGTGCAAGACAAGACATGTTGGAGCACCCAGATATATGTTCCAGGACAACAGTATTAGAGACACTCTTT